AACGATATGTAGATATAAAATTATGTAAAAGTTAGTAATAACGTAATGGAGTACGTGACCACACTAGACTAGAACCCAATTTTGTTTTATAAAACAATATACTTGCTACAAAGTCTTTGAAAATGAAACAAACATTACTTATTTCTTACAGTTATAATGACCTTTCCATATTTATTTCCTTGAAAAAGACTTCCAATTATAAATGTATTTTATTATTACTATATATATATATTTTTATATTGTAATGGTTATGTTAATGAACTATTGTAGTAGCATTACATGACGAAGACAATGACTTACATTGTCTTATGCTGTAACACACGCACCATATATAATTATTTATAATGTTTTGTTCCATGAAGTTATTATTAACATTGCTATGAAATTCTCATAGCAATGTTACATCGTCTAAATTTTTTTTTTTCTTTTAATTTTTATATTTTATCTGATACACATTTATTTTATTTCTTTACTGAGACTTGAATCTTCAACCTTACACTCCTCAAGTACATGACATATTACTGAATTATAAATTTTAGTATATAGTAGGTCCGAACGATATGTAGATATAAAATTATGTAAAAGTTAGTAATAACGTAATGGAGTACGTGACCACACTAGACTAGAACCCAATTTTGTTTTATAAAACAATATACTTGCTACAAAGTCTTTGAAAATGAAACAAACATTACTTATTTCTTACAGTTATAATGACCTTTCCATATTTATTTCCTTGAAAAAGACTTCCAATTATAAGTAGCTCGAGAATTTTATGTGCTTGTGATGTATTTTATTATTACTATATATATATATTTTTATATTGTAATGGTTATGTTAATGAACTATTGTAGTAGCATTACATGACGAAGACAATGACTTACATTGTCTTATGCTGTAACACACGCACCATATATAATATTTATAATGTTTTGTTCCATGAAGTTATTATTAACATTGCTATGAAATTCTCATAGCAATGTTACATCGTCTAAATTTTTTTTTTTCTTTTAATTTTTATATTTTATCTGATACACATTTATTTTATTTCTTTACTGAGACTTGAATCTTCAACCTTACACTCCTCAAGTACATGACATATTACTGAATTATAAATTTTAGTATATAGTAGGTCCGAACGATATGTAGATATAAAATTATGTAAAAGTTAGTAATAACGTAATGGAGTACGTGACCACACTAGACTAGAACCCAATTTTGTTTTATAAAGCAATATACTTGCTACAAAGTCTTTGAAAATGAAACAAACATTACTTATTTCTTACCGTTATAATGACCTTTCCATATTTATTTCCTTGAAAAAGACTTCCAATTATAAGTAGCTCGAGAATTTTATGTGCTTGTGATGTATTTTATTATTACTATATATATATATATTTATATTGTAATGGTTATGTTAATGAACTATTGTAGTAGCATTACATGACGAAGACAATGACTTACATTGTCTTATGCTGTAACACGCACCATATATAATTATTTATAATGTTTTGTTCCATGAAGTTGTTATTAACATTGCTATGAAATTCTCATATTCATATAATTTGACTGAAAGATTTGATCTTTGGAAAATTGAAATTACCCCTTAATTAGCTCAAGCTATTGCACGCAGGTGGTCACACAACTGGAATTGACTAGTGTCCAATGATCCGCTGGGTTTGGTTTAAAAAAGTCAATATATACGCAGTTGTTTTGCATATATATCTATATATATATATATATTATCATCAGCACCAAATAATTTAGATTAATATAATATAAAGAGATTTTAGAGCTTAACCTCTGCAAATTTACAATGTTTCGTGCACTTGTCATTTTATTGCTTGCCTGTTTGTTTGTGTAACCATACGTAGTGTTTATATATATTTATAATTTATTTTTATAATAGGTGTTGTGAATTTTTGTAAGGTTTTATTAACAATTTTTCAAGTCTCTCGCTCTCTCACACAAACACACACACACACACACAATGATGCATGTCCATAATGATACAAAAACCAACATGAACCTAATTCACTCTCAATTGAGCTAATACATAATTCATTCTCTGTTATGGGTGCTAATTGTAGGATATTTTCACTTTCATATAACTACGACAAGAGGTTATATTATAATTGCTTTTTTTATCGTCTTTTTCTGATATAATTTGTAGTCATAAAATGGAATCTGCCGGTTGAATTAGATTTATTGTATAATTTTTAATTATCAACTTGTGTTGTTTTATCCTTGAATGGATAAGTTTGGAGGAAAAGGATCAATGTGTGAAAAGTACTAGTAAAGAACATGTTTTTGGCTTCATTTACCATGTACAAGTTCGAGTGTCTTTTTACTATATACAAGTTTTTTTTTTTTTACTATTGACAGATCAGTGTACCAATAAGATTACTTCATTTCGAAAGTATATATGTTGCTTTGAGATCAAAAACCGTGTTATGTTTGATTTGTAAACAAAGTTGGAGTTTCAAAATGATCTAAATGAATAGTTTGAGAGTATACATATCTCTCTGATGGAGAATATTTAAGATTCAGTTCGTATTGGTTGATCCGTAATTATTTTTTACGGGTCTGGTACCGTTACACGTCTCTACAAACTGATTGATTCGACAAATTTATATCGATATTCGCTCGAATTTATTACATTGTGACCGTGAACCATGCCATAGAATTTGTGCATGGTTTCAACAACTCAAAGAAAACACACGGGCCGACAATGACTTGTTACAACAAAAAACAACAATTACGCCAAGCTAGCCCTGTTTCCACCTACGCATTTGCATGACTTTTTCTCTAAATTTGTCTGTGATGCATGTCATTAGATTGATGAGGTGTTTTTCATTCTTTGATATAAACGATTATTCCATAAAATTACTTTGAAAAAGACGGCCACACGTAAACACTACTGCCAACTTTATGTGCTTTTGATGGAGTTCGTTACTAATATATTCTGAATTCTAATTGTTACAAAGCAACAAGCTAGCAATTATATACGTATGTGTGTATATATATATAAATCTGTGTGTTATGTGTGTATCAATGTTGTTAGCATTGATGTAACGTGCTTGACTAGGACCAGAACTTACTTTTGTTTTGTGCTGCAATATGCAATTGTAACGGCTATTCCATATCATTATCTCGAAAATGACTTGCAAATTTTGCTGTAGCGGTTTCAATACTCAAGCCATATAATAATACTATTAATTTTGATGTCACATTCACAAGTCATGACTCATGATTGAAACTTTAGGTGCCCCTAATGTATTTCACCACTTTTATACCTTGTTTGTGCAACAAATTTTTTTTTCTGCTAATGTACTTTAAAGTGATTTAAAAGTAAATAAATTAATTATAAGGTCGCAAATATATACTTGTATTTGTCTGTACACGCGACGTGTGTGCATAGAAACCTTATTCATGTGCAACCTCTGATCTCTTCTCCCAAATCATCTGCAGTATTATAACTTTTGAACTCCAAAACAATGGTAGGCAGAAGAAAATGTACTGTATAATTTATTATTTGTTGAAATACCAGTTGTATTAACTATAAACGTTGACCTTTTGTTGTTTTTTTTTTTCCTTCCAGAAATTTCTTGGTTGATACATATATATACACATATATCACAGTAAATGCACTTTCGTTTTAGATTCTTATCGTTGATCACAAGACGAAGAAAGATCCACAATATAAGTCAATGAATGAAACGAAACATTATATTCCAAATACAGGGTTACAAGAGGCAATCACTTCATTAAGGACAATAGATAAAAGCCAAACAGTTGTTAGAGACATTAAGATGGAAATTATTATGAAGTTGCAAAGTATCATCATCTGTAATTTCATAATTCAACAAGATGACGGTTAAATGGCGAAAGAGGCCAACAATTAATTTAGTCCTAATTAACCAAAAACTTAATAATTAATCAGGCTAAATAAAGTTCGATAAGCTAACAAATACAAACGTTATGGTCTTTAGTAAAGAAATCCAAATGACTTTAAAAGAGGAATTAAGCTTTTACCTAAATCTTCATTTCATGTGAACTAATTTACTACGTAATTGGCTTTTGCAATAATAATAATAATAATAAAAGACTTATATATATATATATATATATATATATATATATATATTGTTGTTGTTGCTTTGCATAATTATCCATCTTATGTCAAATTTATCACTGAATGTTGAATGTTTGTCACCCTTCTTGTGGCGACCTTGTGGGTGTAATAGGTTATCACAAACCCGAAAGTGTCAATGTGACCCGAAAGTTGACCCGATAGCGGATTCAGAATACGGAAGCGAAAACATAGAAAGTAAAGTTCTTAGGGATAAACGGTATCCCAAGAACGCTAGAGTGACTTTCCATGAAGTCACGGAATTTAAAAGAAAACAAAATGCGGAAGCGATATTTTAAAACGGACAATTTTAGCCCTAGGAGCAAAACGATAATTTTTAGAAAATTATGGGTGCTACCGAGCACACCATTGGATAGACAATGAAAAATTAACAAAGATAGACTTAAGAATCACTTGATTCGAAATCCGGACGGAAGAAAACGGTCAAAAACAAAAATGGGCGTTGCCGTGCCAAAGGGGCACCAGGGCCAAGCCCTACGCGCGCGTGCGAGCGAGTTACAGCTAAAGTTGTGATGGCCGTGAACCCATCAAAACTTCAGAGTTAAGCATGCTACTAGAATAGTATCAGGATGGGTGACCTTGGAAAGTCTTTGATCTGAGAAAGTAAAAAACGGACAATATCATATCTGGTTAAGGTGGGGATTGCTACAATTCCCAAATATTATTAAAACCCTTCTTGATAGAGAAAATGACAAGGAGGAACATGCCTCAGTTTGGGAATTGTGTTGGAATGAAACTCTCGTCTCATTTGGGTAGGACTCTGCTATCTCCCCAGTTGATATAAATAGAAAGCCTCGTCACAATTGGGATTCAACCCAAACTTCTCACATTTCAACATTGTTTTCAAAAAATGGAACCTACATGGCCACACTTCAACAACAACGTAAATTCATCCCTTGATGACAATGGTTATTACCTATTTGGTATGAATGATCATATGGATCACTCTGGTTTCTCGCCTCCTTTCACCACAACAGAGGACTCCTCTGACATTTCTCTTATGATCCCAAATTTCCCATCCATGTTCTCCGATGAGTTCATTCATTTTCCAAGAAATGTTGATGAACTGGACATCAGTTTATCAACAGATGATTTCTTTCTAGATTTCGAGGAGTTTGAACCGATCTCGAGTGGTGAAATTGGAGAGATATCTGGATATTTGGAGGACAGTGAAGGTAGTGTTCCTACCCAACAACTATCAGTTGATGGAGGACATCAATGGAGGCTTAGCCCATCTATTGAACCAAGTGACATGTCGATGGATGTGACATCGATCCAACCATCATTAATCTTGCCTACTGAAGACATGGAGATTGATAATGAACTGAGCATAATTCACCTAGTCAAGGCTTATGGTGAAGCCACGGAGGAAGAACAAACACAGCTCGCTGAGGCCATCGTGGAATGCATACGTGAGAAAGTCGGTCCAGTAGGTGGAATCATGGAACGCCTTTTGTTCTACTTATTCCAACCTTTGGACAAGGAAGAAGATTACATCAGACAAGAGGCCGGCAAGAACTTCCATGCAGCTTTCAAGGCATTCTACCAGATATTCCCATATGGCAAGTTTGCTCACTTTGCAGCCAACTTGGCCATCCTTGAGGCCATGCCTCATGAGGCGGAGATCATACACATCATTGACTTCGACATGGGAGAAGGGGTTCAATGGTCTTCGATGATCGAAGCCATTGGACAACAAAGGGAGATTAGGCTGACATCAATAAAATGTAGCGCGGAGGATCCAGATTGTGACCCTTCAAGATGGAAGTTCAAGGAGACACAGAGATGGCTGTACGACCATGCGCGAGCTTTTGGTGTGAAGTTAAAGTTGGAAGAGAGGGAATTGCATGATGTGGTGAGTGAGATAAAGAGAATGAAGAGAAGGGGTGGGAGGAGAGAATGGTTGGTGTTTAATTGTAACGTGGGACTTCCACATATGGGGAGAGGGAGGAGCAGGAGAGAAGCTATGCAATTTATGAGTGTAGCAAAGGATTTGCTAGCCTATACATCAAATGGTAACAACAACACCAGGGGTATGGTAACTTTTGGTGACGGAGAAGCTTGGGAGAAGACAAGAAATTGCTCAAGTTTTGAGTCATTTCTTGATGGGTATGTGGCACATTACCAAACTTTAATAGAATCAATTGAGCGGAGTTTTCCAATTCATCTTGAAGCAAGAATTGCCATGGAATGTCTGTTTGTGGCACCTTTTGTCTCTTCTATTGAATGGACTCAAAAGTGGGAGGAGATGAAGGATTGTTGTGATCTTCAAGCGGGGTTTGGATTGGAGGGTTGGAGAGTGAGCAAAGAGAGCTTCATGGAAGCCAAAGAAATGGTGAGAGAAGGGGAGAGTCTGTATGGGGTGAGGGTTGAAGGGGACACTAACAACAAGCTGGTCCTGGATTGGAGAGGGGCACCATTAGTGACAGTTACTTGTTGGAGGATTTAGAAAAAGAACATTTGTAATAAATCGAGGGACATTACCAGCGAGACAGTAGGAAAAACAAAGGAGAAGTAAAAATCCTTTGACATATAGTCTGTACATCACTCGTATTTTATTGATTCCTTATTATGTGAATATTATACAAGGACCGAATTGTGTACAAGATTTTATGGATTAGTGGGATTTATGTAGTTGTTTATCTGTTGCTAAAGTTTCTCTCTCCTTTCCTTGATATATTTTTCATTTTTATTTTGTTAATACACACCTCGGTTTAGATTGGTCCAGGGTTATGTTTTCAATTAACATTCCCCTTTTCGTTACGATCATTAATGGGTTATTACTAAGGTTGTTCTAAAAATCTGGTGGTTTCCCAATCAAGAGAAAAAGTTACACAGATTGCTATATTGAAACTTGATGTTCTGAGGCCTCATGTTTGTGTTACCAAAAATTTGGTAATTAACAAAGCTAGTTACCCCTATAGAATTTATTTTTGATACACATGGATTACTGTCCCAAGTTCTCGAAACTGTTGGTTCTTCGACTTGGTAATAGTTAAGAGCAGGTCCAATGGTTAGTGTGTAAGGACCCAAAAGACACTAAAATAATAATAATAAAATAAAAAAATTTCGGCATGGCCTCCGCAGAAAATGTTCCTCTATAACTTGTTGAAATACATAAAAAGATGCAATAGCTTTACTGGCCTTAAAAATAACCTATTCTGTCCTAACGCACAATACAAGTATTACATCATATTCCCAAAAATAATTACATACATATCAAAAATTCCTTCCTGCATCTCATCCAAACAAGGAGCAATCCTGTTACAACAAGTTACAAACCATAAATGTAGCTAAAGTTTTAAAATCCATAATTTACAATATTATACTGGTTAAACTAAAGTTTCTCAAAATAGTTAAGTTTACATTTACAAAATATTAGAGTCTAATAAAAAAGATAACAAAATAAAATGAGTCTCCAAGCTCGTCTAAACCTTTGGTGGATCGTCGTCCTCCACCCATTTTTCGTATCCTGAAAAATGTTTAAAAATAATGGGGTGAGCATAAGCTCAGTAGGAAGTGTCTAAGACACACTTCTTATATCCCCGTGAATTTCACACAAAGAATGGGCAAAAAGGAACGGGGTCATACCATGAGGAAAACATAATCTCAACCACAACAACAAGAATCTAGCAAATGTCAACAAATTACAAAATTTCCCATAATGTTATGAAGTGCAATGTTATGCAAATGTCGCTCCCTGTTTCCGAAACAATTCCGTTTCAACAACCAAACCGTTAGTGTAATCTGACCCAAGGCACCTTCAAGGCGTCACGAAAGGAAGGTTGACTAACTATCCACAACCACAAGGCACCTTCAAGGCGTTGCATCCGGCTTAATTAACTCAACTACATTCCCTTCTAGACTACACCAACATCACGGACCACTAGACGTCTCCTAGGCGTCCGATTTTCGCAATACTTTTAGAAAATATTTTCCCCAAAATAATTTCGTTTGTTCTAAAAATATTTTTCTCCCTTTCTCTTTCTCAATGAATGCATGAATGCGTGTGTTTCAATTTATCAATTCAACTATATGTTTTCACACATTCCATTTACATCATCATCACAATTTAATAGGAATTTCTAAACATTCATTATTTATAATAATAATTATTATTATTTTTATAACAATAGCATCAATTTTTCAAAGCAATAAATAAAAATAATCATAGAACATACAACATATCAATACTAAGCATGTATATGAACTCAAATAACATGGAACACACTTAACATTTTAATTACACATAACTACAACAACAAGGAGCTAGGTAATCAAAATTTAGCATGCTTAGAATCAAATTTAAGGGAAAAAATTCACAAAAGGCCAAGAAGTTGTAGATTAGAACACCCCTATCTCAAATTGATGAAAACCCCCAATTTGAGCCCAAGAACCCTAGAATTTTGAACTCTCTAGAGTGCACCAAAACTGAAATTGTTGGTACTCACACGTAGATCTCGCCGTGCTCTTCGATTTGCTGCAAACGGCACCCAAAAATTCCAAGTATGGAAGGAGGAATCAAAGTTTGAAATTGGAAAAGAAAAAGAAAAGAAAAGAAAAGAAAAGGGAAGCTTCTGAACTGGACGAGAGAGACAGTTACGTAGAGAGAGAAACTGATCTGCTTAATGGCCATTAGGCTTTTTGTGTGTTTAAAAATATTGGTGGGCCTACTAGTTAAAATAATTTCTTTTAACATAAATAAATAAATAAATAAATAAATAAATATATATATATATATATATATATATATAAAGCATAACATTACATTATCTCCAACTTTAAAAGATTTCGTCCTCGAAATCAAGCCATACCTGAGGAAGAAAACAACTCGGGATACTTAGAGCGAACCTCTTGTTCGAGCTTCCAAGTAACCTCCTCAACTCTATGATGCCTCTAAAGAACCTTTACCAACGGTATCGTCTTTTTCCTCAACACCTTCAGCTGTGTGTTAAGGATCTGAACTGGTCCCTTCTCGTAGGAAACATCCTCATCAATGTCTACATCAACCCAACTCAAAATGTGAGACGGATCCGGCTCGTACTTCCGTAACATCGATACATGGAAAACATTATGAACTCTGTCCATCTGCGGTGGCAAAGCAAGTCTGTAGGCAACCTCTCTTACACGGTCTAAGATCTCAAAAGGTCCAATAAATTGTGGCGACAGCTTGCCACTCTTCCCGAACCTCATCAACCTTTTCCTTGGAGAAACCCGAAGAAAAACGTGGTCTCCCACCTCAAAGGATAGCGGTCGTCTCCGTCTATCTGCATAACTCTTCTGTCGGCTTTGAGCTGTAAGCAATCTCTGCCTGATCAACTTACTCTTCTCGGTAGTCTTGAGTACAATGTCGGGTCCTAAGCTGGCTGTCTCGCCTACTTCAGTCCAACAGATAGGAGACCTACAAGGTCTACCATACAACGCCTCAAATGGAGCCATCCGAATACTCATCTGGTAACTGTTATTGTAGGTAAACTTAATAAGTGGAAGATGATCTTCCCAACTACCACCTAAGTCAAGTACACAGGCCTGAAGCATATCCTTTAAGATCTGGATGGTACGCTTTGACTGGCTGTCCGTCTGTGGATGGAATGCCGTACTAAGGTGCAATGCTAAGCCAAACGCTGCTTGAAGTCCTTCCCAGAACTTCGAGGTGAACTTAGCATCCCTGTCTGAAACAATAGCTACTGGAACTCCATGCAATCTTACAATCTCTTTCACATAAAGTACACCAAGTGTCTCTGCGTTATCTGTTGCCTTAATAGGCAAGAAGGGAGCTGTCTTGGTCAATCTATCAATAATGACCCATACAACTTCATTTCCCCTCTGTGACCTAGGAAGACCTGTCACAAAATCCATGGCAATCTCTTCCCATTTCTATTGCGCTACCGGCAATGGCTGCAATAAACCAGCTGGTCTCTGGTGTTCGGCCTTCACCTGCTGAGAGGTAAGGCACTTACCCGCAAACTGTGCAACATCCTTCTTCATTCCATTCCACCAACACTGACGTCTCAGATTATGATACATTTTGGTACCACCTGGATGAACTGCAAAGCGGGAAGTGTGAAACTCTTATAAGACGTCTTCACGACAAACTGTGGGAACAACCAACAAACCCCTGAGCCGTAGACCTCCATCTGCATGTAAGGTCCAATCCTTTACGGTTTTACCACTGGAGATCAAGGTGTACATGACATCCAAATCCAAATTTTGTCTTTGTGACTCAATCACCCCGTCTAACAAGAGTGGGTTGAGCCATGAGACTAAACAAGAATGCTGACTCACTGCCATCATCATCGTCATCAAAGCAATACAATCCCATCTTAGCCAAATCTTCAAGCATCTTCCACTTCTGAATGGCTAAACTAGCCAAAGTCCCACGAGATTTTTGGCTTAAAGCATCAGCTACAACATTTGTCTTGCTAGGATGATATTGTAAATCAAAGTTGTAGTCTTCTAAGAACTCAACCCATCGCCTTTGTCTGTTGTTCAAGTCCTTCTGGGAGAAAAGGTACTTGAAACTCTTATGGTCTGAGAACACCTTAAATCTCTCACCATACAAATAGTGTCTCCAACACTTCAAGGCAAACACAACTGCCGCTATCTCCAAGTCATGAGTAGGGTAGTTAAGCTCGTGAGTCTTCAACTGTCGAGACTCATAAGCCACTACTCTACCATCCTGCATCAGTACATAACCCAAACCATCACGTGAGGCGTCATAATAGATCACATAACCCATGCCACGCTCGGGTATTACCAACACTGGAGCCGTAGTTAACCTTGTTTTCAACTCTTGAAAGGATAACTCACATGCCTCATTCCATGCAAACTTGATCCCTTTCCGGGTCAATCTGGTCATAGGAGCTGCCAAACGGGAAAAATCCTTCACAAATCTCCGATAATAACCCGCTAGGCCAAGAAAACTCCGAATCTCAAAGACATTCTTGGGTTGCTCCCAATTCAGAACTGCTTTAATCTTTGAAGGATCGACTGAAACTCCACCTTCCGAGACAACATGTCCCAAAAACTTCACCTCTTGTAGCTAAAACTCACACTTTTCATATTTGGCATACAAATGGTGCTCTCGCAGAATCTATAACATTATACTCAAATGGACCTCGTGCTCCTCCCGAGTCCATGAATACATAAGAATGTCATCCACGAAATGTGACGTTTTCGATTTTCAGCGTTATTCAATTTTCTGTAATTCGTGTCGCCACAAGGGCATTTTTGTCCTTTCAAGTTTTGTGTACGGGATCTTAATAGTGTCAAATTTCATTTTTTGTGCATTTTAATTTATGTGGATTAAGTGGTATATGTAAGTGGTGTATTTTTTATCTATGTGGTGTAAATGGAGGATTAAAGAAAAAAGAGAAAAAAAAAAGAAGTGGCGGGACCCACCACTAGTGTAAATAATGGTTAGAGACCATTTTTGGTCTCTTAATTCTC